CCCCACTTCACTCATTATGTTGGATCCAAAGTCAGTTGCAGCATGGGTGAGGCACATGGCTTAAAGGAGGAGACAAGGCTCAAAGCTGGCAGCTGCAAATCCTCCTGAGCATGGTTCAGTGTTGGACGGGCTAAGGACTCCACATATGTTCAATTGGGCTGAATTTTGGATATGTTATACTAGACACCCAATTGAACAACGTCTATGAAGAATGTCTCCTCATCCGAGTTGTGTAGATTGCTGAAATGAGACCTGCAAGGTGACTTACGAAACTGGACTGACAAGAAGTGTGGCCCAACTTTGGTTTTGTCTTTAAGCTCTTGCTCTTATCCCAATCAGCCCTTAACATGCATGGATTGCATCAAATGTGATCTCTTGCTATCTTAACCTACAAAACACACAAACATAGGTAAGTGACTCAAAATAAAGAGAAACTAAGCAAAATCACTAAGTAAAGAAGACAAGCAAGTGTATGAAATTATGGACTTATCGAAACAGAAAATGGATTAAAAGCACAAGTTTAACTCAATAACATAACCAAATCATAAGCTAGAAGGGTACAAAATGATATACAATTATGAACCGATCAATAGTTATATCCTTTCCTAGTAACTGTTTGCCGAGTTAATGGACGTTCAACATTTTCACTACGCATGATAATCATAAACTCATTCAACGCATGAGCTACTGCTTGGATCGCCATTAATAAATACCTAATGATTTCATAAAGTTCTTCTCTCTCAATTTCTTGCCTTTCGATTTGTTCTTCCTCCATTATATATATTGATATTCGACCACCTGGAATAACAAGTACTACAAACAAAGACATTAAAAAAATCAACCAGAGCGTAATTTAGAACTTGGAATAAAAACAATAACCAAGCAAAGATATTTCATTATCAATATAATATAAACTAGTTCATCCGTGGCATGTGTGCAAGCGCATATGACGAACTTTCGCGTGCCCAAATCGGGTTTCTTCTCGGTAAGGTATTGCATTGGGCCAAGAATTGGCAGAACTGTGGATTTTTTGGGCCTGAACACCACTCATTCCCAAAAACCACTCATTCCAAATTGTAAGATATCCAACTTGAGCGCTCTTCAGGGGACATCAACAAAAATGCTTCCTTCTTTGTAGTAGTATTCAACAAAGAAAGGGCTTTATAACGAGCACATTCATCCACATTTGGGGTCTCCTTAATAGCTTCCCATATATAACTCTGCCTCTCCCTGTCTTTTTCCCTTTTTTCCAATAGGCTATGGACTCCCTTGAAGTCGGTAGCAATTGAATCAATGCTAAAACTAATTCTGTCCATACATGTGTCATATTGGCTACCATTCCCTTCATGCTCTTGTCTAGTTCGTTCTCTCTAGCTTGAGCTTTCTGAGGGACCTGTCCAAATAATGGCCTGAAAAGGTAAGGATGAAGAAGAATGTCCGAGTGGTGGACCTTGGTGTGATGCTTCATTATTATTTGGTACAAAGGCCTGAGTGTCATTATCATAAACAAAGTCCTCTATTCCAACTTGTCTATCTTCCACCCCAAAAGTTCTTGCATCAGTACCATCACCCAATCCTAATGAGTTTTTTCTAATAGCAGTTGCATTCCCAATGACAATTTGCAAATCCTCATAGTCCTCACAAGTTTTTGTTTGAATATGCCTGTGGGTTGGGTGGGACTACAAAACAGCAATTAAATAATAATTATTAGTAATGAATTATGTACTCATTACGATAGCAAAATTATTGTTAGTTATACAAACAAGGATAGCAACAGACTCATTACGATATACCAACACATAAAAACCAAGCCAACAAAAAAAGAAAATTTTATAAGTAGCTGTTTACGTATGCATCCATATAACCAGACAAAAAATAACGAGACCCATTAAGCAATATTACATAAAGTGCAGAAACCAAACAACTATAAAAATTTAACATATTTTCAGTAAATATTTATAACATAAGACAAATAGTTGGAGGTATAATAAACCCTAACCCCAAGATAAACCCTAAAAACAAGCTACACTCTAATAACAAGCAAAACCTCTATAAAAACAAGAAAAACATCAACCAATAATCATCAACGAACAGTAACAAACAAGAAAAACCATGGAAGAAGAAGGAAAACCAACAAGAATATTGAGAGAGTGTACCTTTGGAGAGTGGTTCGTCTTCTGCAGAGAGAGAAAAAAATATGTCGTCTGAAATCTTTGGGGTGGAGGTTGGACTTATGCTGGCCTTTATTATTTATACCTAAACCCTACAAATTCTCCAAACTCCAACACTTAATTAAATCCTTCCAAATCTATCTCCTTTTGAATACAGGTAAATTTATTTGGACTTTTTTCAAGTCCTAATTGAATACACCCACATTTAGATAGACATTTTAAACGTTCAAACAAGTCTAGATTGAATACACCCAAACTGTTATAGACTTTTTAAAAGTTTGTCTAAATCCAAATTGAATACACCCGAATTTTTAAAATCTTTTTAAACGCTTTAGAATCCTAATTGAATACACCCCCCTAGTTAAAAAAACATTCTTAGTATTTTATTTATTATTGTTTTTTTAAATTATGATAATTAATAGCTAATCAACTTATGTAATTTACCATGCAACGTATAAAGTGTAAAATGTTATACTAAATTATTATAAATAAAATTAGAATGTGTTTAATATTTTTTATATATTAATTAATACACATTTCTAAGTCACAATATTTGTCAGCAACTAACATAGTCACTTGAAATTACTCAAACTCACTATGCATTACATTTTATTCAATTCTTTTATGTCAAAACAATAGGTAATTGGCTAAATGAACATCTTATAAAATTTCATTAAAAACTTCCATATTTTTCTCACAATTTTCGTTTTTGTTATAGAATTAAATGGACGTTGGGTCTCTGGTGATGGGTTTTTGATTCAAGCCATAAGGAAATCTAGCCGGACTCGCGTGTTCAAAATAACACGCTCACAATTTTGCGAACCCAATTTCGAGCTCTCTATATTAGACACGCGAGTCCTTGTTTATTTTAACTGTTGGACTACACAGTCTCATTTAAGTTACCTCTCCCTTGCCAAATATGGGTCCCAAATGTTATTTAACACAGTCCAGTTCAGTGAGGCATACCAAACATGGCCGTAAGGTCTAATCCAGTCTGGATAACCCATTGAGCAGTTCAGGATGTGTTGCTGAGAAGAGACATGAACGAAGGAATATACTTGTGGCATCGTAGAACTTATCATGCATGTGATGCTACCTGATTGGCATTATTGCATGAAGTTTGTCAAATCAAGGGTTTTTATGTTTATGATGAAATCATTTATCAACTGGTTGATGTGCTAATAGAATCCCATGCTTGAATCGGTAGAACATGGTGGGTCCATGATGTGCTAATTAAGCTCTCTACTGGTTGATGTGTCTGAAAAACTGGTTTTTTAGTAGTTTGAATGTTCAAGAACTTCAGCATATTGTTGAACTCTATGTGTGTAGCATATATATTGGGGAAGAGCCTCATGAAACTGGAAAATTGAGAGATAGGATTGTGTGGAAAGATAGGAAGATAAGATAAGGTGGGTATTTTAAAAATAATTGTGGGTGAAAAGATAAGATTGTGTTTTTTCAAATTTACATGGTGGGTGAGAAGATAAGGTGGGTGGGTAATTAGCAGCACTCATTCTAAATTGTCAATGGGGACAAAATTGTTATGAGAAATGTGCATTTAATGCTAGCTCATTTTCCCATAGTTTCCCATGGGAATGGAAAATGAAACCTAAGAGGGGAGGACAGTTTCATTTTCCTCCTTATTTTTCCATGTGTTAGGTAACCATTTTCCATGCTGAAACTTACTGAATATTTGATTTCCCATGAACCAAATGCCCATTATTATAGAGATCTAGTCGATAATAAGAAACAAAATGTGTAAGCGACGACCGAGTGTAAATTTACACAAATGTCATTTTTTTTAAGAATCACAAATGTCTTTTTATATAAGTCTTTTAAGAAACAAACTTTACACTTGGTCGCCGCTTCATCTTCTTTCAATCATGGAAAAACTCTGCAAAATTGAACCATTTTCTCCATTGTCATCAACCAATGGCGATCAAAACACACAACTATATCTATTGTCTCTTCAAATTTCAACTTTAATTTAATGGGTTAGGACCAAGGTCTAAAATATCGGGACACTACTAGAAAAACGCTCAACAGGGACCCTTTTATCGGAGACTAAAATAAAAACAGTCTCAATAGATTGCTATTAGGGACTGATAATAGAAATAGTCTCTATAAAATGATAAAAGGGACTGATTCAATAATTTTCCATGACTAATAAATTTAAAAACTCGGAAATCCGTGCCTTCAGTATTAAAGAAATTATATATAATACTTTCATGTCAGATATATATTAGAAAATAAGGCACTGTCAAATTAATCAGTGCCTAAGTTGTCCACCATTTCCAGTAGCGGGCACGAATCAACACAAAAACTTAATTAAAATTTTAAAAATATATAAATAAAAGACTCATTATACCAACTAAGTGAAATTATACGTATACCAAAATGACTTTCCTCCTTTTTCTGATCCCAAGAGTCCTACCTCTCTCTGCTTACTCTCTCTCTCTCTCTCTCTCTCTCTCTCTCTTCAATTATTATTTTCATAACCACACTCTCGTTTTACTTCCCAAGATTGCTACGGTTTCCTCCTTTTCCTCCTCTTTTCCTTCCATTACTCTCTCTCTCTCTCTCTCTCTCTCTTATATTTTCTTAACAACTTTCTTGAAACTTCTCTTTTTCTCTCCTTCAAATCTATACGCACCCCTTTTGTCTATTTCTTTTTTTCTTTTCTAATTCTCGTATTTTTCTTGGTATTGTGTTGGGTCTGGATTTCTTGGTCTAGTTTTAAATTTAATTCTTGGTATTGTGTTTGTAAATCTAACCCATTGTCCGGTTTGGGCTAGATCTGTGTTATGTCTCTTACAAATCTTTCATTTGAATGAGTTTTGCTTAGCGACTCATGGTTTTTGTTTGACTGGTTGTAGAAATAAAACGTATGGGACAAGTTCTTGCTGTTGTTGATGGCATATTGAATCTTTTTGAAAGGTAATTTAATGAAATTTCTCTTGTTCATCAATGAATTCACTCTCTGTCAAAATCATAAATTTATTTGTATTTTTTAGTGGGTATTTGTGTTTCTGAATTTTGAGGATTTATTTGTGTTTATGTTTATGGTAGTGCAGATGCGGTTAATAGGCTTAGGGGTCGTTTGGTACGGCGGACTGTCATGGACTGGACTAAATCCTGGGACTGTCTTGGATTAGCTCGGATTGGACTAAGCTGGATTAATTTCTAATCTACGTTTGGTGATGCGTCGAACTAAGAAGCTGGATTGTAAAAATAGTGAAGACCTATGTTTGGTGCTGTGTCGGACAAAAAAATAATTCTTGTAATATTTAAATTTATTTTGGGATTTTGACCTAAAAATAAGTAAATGCTACAAAGAAACACAATTCAAAGATTTAAAACAATAAAACAAATAAAATTATGATTGTTTATGAAGAATAAAATTCTGATTTTTTTTTTTTTGGCTTCTCAAGATTTATCTTAGTTGCTCCTTAGCCTTGCCCCAAGACTACTACAAATCTTCTATTTTTTGTTGGTCGAAACATTACTAAGGAGCTAAACTCACTCTATATAATTCTACGTCTTTCATGGAAGACCAAGTAAAAAATAATTTAAAAAAAGAATATATGTATAATTTTTGTATTTTTGACTTTTGACTTTAAACTGAAAAATATAATTTAACAAGGTAATAATTGCTTGCGATAAAGAAAGCAGCACATCATGAATTATTAAACTTGTTTCAATATAAAAGGAATATCAAGCATTTGTCAATTATTATAGTTTGATTTTCCAAATACAAATGTGGTCAAATGCAATATCAAAATAATTCTTGTAATATTTAAATTTAAATACGGATTTTGACATAATAAATAAATAAATGCTAAAAATCCCAATTAAAAATTTAAAACAATAATAAAAAGAAAACAAATAAAATCCTAATATTTTTTAAAGAGAGGAGTTGGATTAGCGTGTTCTATTTAGGAACGTGCTATTTAGAGAACCACTTTTCGGGCTCACTATATTAGATGGGCGAGTGAGGCCTTTTTTTCACTATTGGACTATATAGTCTCATTTAAGTTAGTCCCGTCTATTACCAAACATGGGTTTCGAGTGCTATTTAGCCTAGTCCAGTCCAGTGAAGCATACCAAACATACCCTTAATGCTCTCGGGGGCAGAGGTGAATTTCTACTCCTTTTTCAACACTAATTTTCTTTTCTTTTTTTGAAATGGTCAATTTTTAGTCCTAAATCTTAGATATTTATTGCTTTTCAAGAAGATGAGCTCTCTCCTTCAGTTCAACATGCAAAGACTCTTCCGGTGTATCTCCATAATCCATGGTCGGAAAAAATTCTTCTTGGGGAGGAGGTTCTCTAAGCTTGACAGAGTACAAGGTTTACAAGAGTGACAGTTTGCAAACCGAACGGGAAAGAGAAAACCAATGAATGGTTTAAAGAACCGATGTTTCAACATATTGAAACAACTTTGACCCAAGAAAAAACATATTAAAACAACAAAATCGCTATGGGACAATCAGATATTTTTATAATAAAAAAAAGGTTTATGTTTTTAGGGACTGATAAGCATTCTATACCTTTTAATTCTATTAGGCACGGATGTATTTGGAATGCATGTACGCGTATTGGTTGGACAGAATGTGGGACCCATTGGGAAAATAAGTCACGGAGATTTGCAATCCGTGCCATATTAGCAATAGAGGACCCCTATAAAAGACACTGTTATAAATCAGTGCCTATTACTACATTAGATACTGTTTTCAGTCCCTAAAGAATGTAAAAGGGACTGATTAGCCTCAGTCTCTTTTAGTCCTTTTTTTAGTAGTGGGAGTTTTGGAAATATTGGTGATCCAAAAACACGGAAATTTCGGGAAAAAATCGATATCGGTAAAATTTGTATAAAAACTATGGAAATTGTGAGAAAAACTTGGAAATTTTTATTGAAACTTTATAGTATGTTTATCTAATCAATTCTCTATGATTTTATCACAAAAAATTGGAAAGAAATGTATTGCATTGTGGGTTTGAGTGATTTAAGTTGATTATATAGCAAGTTGACAAAACTGTAATTTTAGAAAATATATAGTAAGTAATGAAAGAAGATTAAACACACTATAATAATTTATTTATGGAAATTTACCACAATATTTGCAAATCGTGCCATGTTTGTTTCCATGTAGTGGGTCTCAATGTTCCCAAATAGGTCACGTCTATTTCCTCCACTAGACATCTTAAAAGTTCCTATATTAATTTGTTATGGAAATTAGGTACTTTTATTTTTTTGGCTAAACGACGGTAAATTTTCATTAATACGAATAGAAAGGTTTATAATGTTAAAAAAAATAGCAGTACTGTACTGATTATCCAAGGGAACCTAAATAAAGTTATCCTAAGGAAGTTAAATAGGAAGTAAATAAAATAATTATAGGAATTTAAGTAATTAAGTAATAATATGGGATAATAAAACCTAAATAAAGTCATATGAAATTATATTTCTTTGAAAAAACAGCTTGTAGAGACAATATAAATATTACATGGTGTAGCATATAATTACGAAAATAACCAGCAATGTGGTGGATAAGCCGCTCAAACAAAGTTGGAAACACCCTGTGTGCATGCAAGCTTCAGCAATTTTCATTCTTTTTCGATTTAGGTCCATATCGTGATATTATCGATAATATTGCCCTAGAAATTATCCCGAAATTATTGCTGAAAATATCGATAAATAGACGATAACTGTAGGGATATGTTTTAAAATATTTTGGTCCATGATTATAATTATTCCTAAATTCATATTTATATCATCATCAAACTCTTGTTTCTCATTCCCAATTTTCCTTTTCTATTTTTGAGATCGGCTATAGTAGGATTATGGGCTGCACTTCACCATTATTAAGCAGCATTACTCTGCTTGGATTTCTTGGATGGAGGAAAAAAGAGAAAGAAAACGTTCAAAATCACAAAAGCATCTCAAAGGGAAATAAAAAATGTAAAATGTAAAATTGAAATTTGATAGCTTATGTGGCAATTTGACATATATTACTCATTTTCCTTCCAACCGATATATTTTTTGTATTTAATAAAATAAGCAATAGTAAATGAAGAAGGAGAAAAGCATGAGTAAAATAATAGTAAATTATAGATAGTGGCATTCTCTATTGGTGCTCATGTAACAAATTTAATAATTAAAAATAAAAAGCACACCGTAACAAATAGGGCTGGGCATTCAAACCAATAACCCAGTCAAACCGCCCAAACCAAACCGACGGGTTAGTTTGGTTTTTTTTCAAACTTTTTTTGGTCATCGGTTTGAACCCAAACCAAACCGAAATATATGGTTCGGTTTACGATTTGCAAAATTCAAAATCACGGTTTAACCAAACCAAACCGATGGTATTAAAAAAATAATATATATATATTTTATTACAAGAAATATATATATAGCAGTCCTGATCTCTTGGACTACATGGGTCCAAGAGATTTGTGGTCACTCACCGTTTACATCCAACGGTTCACTTACTCTTACACTCCTTTTAAGAAACTTTTTTGAACCATTAGATTAATATCCAATGGTGGGTGACCATAATCTCTTGGACTCCTGTGGTCCAAGAGATCAGGACTGATATATATATAGAAAATACATAGTTTCAATTTTTTTTCCTTCTTCTTCTTCTTCTTCTTCTCTATCTCTCCCTCTTTTTTTTTTCTTCTTCTCCTCTCCATCTCTCCCTCTTTCCTCTCTCCATCACTTTTATTTCTTCTATCTCTCTCTCTCTCTAAGAAAGCCAAAAAATCCAAACCCAACCAAACCAACCCACTAAGTCCGGTTAACCGAAGTGGTCGGTTTTCATTCACTATGGTTTGGTTTCGGTTTCCAAAATAGCCAAACCGAGACCTACGATTCGGTGTTCGAGTTGAACCCAAAACCGAACCAACCCAAACCGATCCCACTCCTAGTAACAAAGCCCAAAGAATTACTTGGTGGGCCCTTTGGTTTAAAATGTTAGAAATTAATGTAAATAATGCCTGGAGTTTGGAGCGTTAATTTTGACGACGTGAAGGGCGACGACATTCCACCTAGATGTTGGAGTGTTTTTTGCTATTTTTTACAGCTAATTTGGCTTCAACATTGGATTTGACATCTCCTTCAAGATGCTCTAAAGAGATTTACAACATATAGAAGGATTTGAAAAACAATCATTTGCCATGGTGGACAGAAGACGAAAGGACCGAGGAGATAATATGGTGTAAATTTGTATTTGTATTTATTTATAAGAGTTAACATAGTTTAGCTTCAGATAAGTAAAGGGACATGTGTCAAAATTTTACATAAGGTACAAAAGGGGATATGAAATTTGAGGACAACAGATCCCAACCCGTAAAAAACAACTCGCCAATGTAATCTAGATTCCATTTGAATGATGTGATTCCAAATTTAAAGGTTTATATGACTACAAGGTAAAGAGTTTCAGTTGAGAGATCCCTCAAATAAGCTTGTAGGATCCACTCCATATGCCTTGCATTAAGGGTGGGTATCAAGATCGGAAAACCGGAACACCGAGTCGCACCGGATAGAAAAACTCGAAAAAAATCTGTGTGGACTAAAAAGTCAACAAATTGGCATCGAACTGAACCAAACTGGACCGGCTGTGTATGTTTTTATATTTATTTTTTAATTATTTCGAGGAAAGTAAACACGGGATTTGGCTGATGTGTAGAGCCCCACGTGTTAAAGAAGCTTATTAATTCATATATCTTATCAAATAACAATGCATAAAACAGAGTTGGGGTTAGTTTGGGTAGGATAGATTTGATTGTATACGGGTAAATATTTTTTTGGGAAAAATTAGGGTAGGACCGCCACGGGCAAATCTTTATTTCCTTCACTCCTTGAAATCATTAAATTCTCTGGGCCCTAATATTTTTTGTATTTTTTCAGCAACCAAATGTTATGAAGAAGAAAATAGTTAAGCTACAAAACTCTTTTCAATGGGGAATTCGTTGGAAACGTTTTGAGGGTGTGTGTGTGTGTGTAAACTCTCGTCAATAATCCATACAAATGCAATCCTAGTCGATGGTTTAAATAGTGTTAGACAGAAACTTACTTAATCCGATAGTTTAAATAATAGTGTCAAAAAACATGAGCTTTTATTGGTGAAAGTAGGAATTAGGGTTCCCAAGATCATGAGTTTTCCCCTGTTTTCGATGATATATACAATTAGATTACTCATATGTATGTGAGAAGCGAAGCTTAAGCCTTAAGCCAAGGGTGCAAGAGATGTCGTG